AACGCACATACGTTTTTTTTTGGGTTCAGAACTTCAGACTCTTCAGACGATAGTGATTTAATGACAACAGTGCACCGCATTTGTCCGAATTTACATGAAGAAAGAAGTAAGTCTTAGTAATCAACGCTTGAGGAGATAATATGAAGCCACATGACACCCACTTTCAGACATGAGTTTTGTTCTGCATTTCTGTTTTTCATTTACCTGAGTATACTCGAAAGCGCGAACCTCCTCCTTCACTGGAGCACCAGTATTGGGAACACCCTCCAGGAATAACCTGCGCTTCAAGATAAAAAACGGCACGTCATCTAAGGCATCCCTGATGGAAGGATCGTCCTTCAACATCAGAATCGGGTTCACGAAGTCCTTGTTCTGGACCAAACTGGCAAGCTCCCTGCTTGCAAGGCCGAAGCTTTCTCTTGCTGTTTTCTTTAGTGTTTTGGTGTCCTTCAGCTTCTCTCTCACTTGCATTCCCCAATAGGAAATAATGTCCATCACATACCAGTGCATCGGCAACATCTTCTCCACTGCAAAATTGGTCAAACAAATGGAAACAAAAAAGAAACAAGAGCAGATCATTTTGAGTTGTGAACTTGCCAAATGGAAACAAGAAAGAAAAAAGAGCAGATCATTTTAAATTGTCAACTTGCCAAGTCGACCTCTTAGAGAATTGGATTTAATGCCATTCACTAGAGATTGTTGCAAGGAATCTCCCTGAAAGGAGGAGCAATGCTGATCATGAGCGGGCATGCGTGCACACACACACACACACACACACACACACACACACACACACACACACACACACACACACACACCGATTGATAACTACATAGTACGTACCTTCCACAAAAAACCTGGAGTCAGTGATATCTGGGGGGCCACCCGGTGGGAAAGATCAAGTCATCAGCATGTTTTCTGGCCACCCTGAGGAACTGAGGGGGAAAGGTCCTAGAGGGTGAGGGTTCAAGGGCCTGCTATAACATATGAAAAAGAACATTTGGTCAGTGAGTTCTTCGGAGGTGTCAAATGGTACGGCCGCACCCTCCCCCCCCCTCCCCTCCCCTCCCCTCCCCCCAAAGTGAGACTTTCAATTGAAGCAGCTCGGTACCTGTTCCCACTATCAAATGGCAGTGGGGCCAGATGGGGAACCTCGGATGAAGACAATATATGTTCGGGAACTCTCTCCACAGTAGGCCTCCGTCGCCACTTATCATAGCAGCGCTTCCTGTATAACTGAGTGGGTGAGTCTGCTCATAGATCTCATGGTCTACCATGCCGGAGTGCTTGCTTTCCTCCCAGTATGCTCTGCCTACGTACCTGAAGACTCCATCAACGGCCAGACTATCACCTCGTAGATGATCGAGTCACTGAGTCTGCTCGTAGATCCTGTATGGCCGGGTCGGTGAGTCTGCTGGTAGATGTGATGATCCGCCATACCGGAGCGCTTGATTCCCTCCCGGCATGCTATGCCTATGCACGCGAAGACCCCGCCGACAGCCGGACTATCACCTCTCTACCCCCACTGCCTCTCTCCATGTCCCTGCCCACCTCTCCAATCGTAGTTGCCCCCTCCTTTGTTGTCGCATCCTCCATAGCCATCAGACTTTCCTTCGCCCCATTTGCTTACTTCCCAACATTTTCCCTCTTGTGATTGCCATCTCATTGGATTTGTCCTCTGGGAGTGCCATCCTCTCCTGTACCCCACTATTGACACCCTGATAATGAAGTGAGTGGCGGCAGAGTATCCATACAATATCAATGAGTTGCTGGCCCAACAGGACGTCAAGGAAACGATATCGAGGAATTCATTCCCGGGGTCTCCTAGGTCTAAGTGAGCATATATAATAGGTGCATATTTGTGTGTGCGGTTGGTGTAGGTGTAGCATACGATGGTTCTGGGCCTTCTGGCAAACACTTACGTACTTGTGCTTATACATACCTCCCTCTGATGAGCTAGCGATGGTTGCCGAGAAGTGCTTAATGGAAGGCCCAAAATTTGGCAAATTTCGGTGAATTTTCCACTGAAACTGCCATATTTCCCTGAATTTTTACTTTTTTCTTGTTTTTTTTTTTTTTGTCTGATATGTATGTGCTTTAGGTTTAGGGTGTGTCTGTATTCAGTTTCAATGTATTTGGACCAGTAACGAAAAAGTTGGCAAAAACACCGGACTCAGAGAAAGATTCGGCGAACTCCGAAAGCTACTCCGAATAGGGTTTTATAGTGCTCTTGAGTTCTTTTTTTTTTTTTTTTTTGCCTGTTCGTTTTCTTTTAATGTTTGTATTATGATACTGCATAGTTTGTTCGCAAAAGTTTCTGGGAAAGCCATCGGATTGCCTACCTCAGATCAGAACAGCCAATCAGATCGTCAGATTAAAACAGGCAATCACATAATCAGAGCAGAGCAGATTGATAGACAAGATCAGGTCGTCAAATCAGATCAGATCATCAGATCATCAGATCAGATGGTCATCAAATCAGATCACATCATCAGATCAGAACAGTGCCGTGTCGTACTCCGCCCGCACGCAAGATAGTCGCTAGATAAATCACAGTCAGATTCCGTACAGATTCTGTACGGGCGTCAGGTTCCCGAGGAATGAACAACATAGCATTGTAGTAATTGTTTGATCAATTCTCACATTGCCCTGTCAGCCGGGGGCCAGATCACAGAGCAATCAATGACGCCCAATCTCTTACAGATCAGAGGTCAGATCGCCGCCAAGGGGCTGTTGGATTGCCTTAGCTGCCTTGCCAGCTTAGCGTCCGATCCCGACCAGATCAACGGCGCCTGATCGCTGTCGGATCCATGGTTAGATCCAGGGTTGCATTGTGTTCAAGGGGGGTTACGTAGATGCCTCGTGAGTCGTAACCCAAAAGAAAGAAAGCAAAAGGATGCCTCCTAACCTCTCAGTGGCTGCTTTCGCACTCAGATCTGCAAAAAAAAAAAAAAGGGCTTCTTAACCCCTTTATGTTATTACTGCCCCTTCTCAACCTTCCCAGATAGGGAACCACGCTGATT